ACCTGGCAGTATTCAGCTCATAAGCCAATCATGGAACGTTTTTATTTTCTAGAAAGATTATTGTACAATGATTTGTTTGGCACACATTCTGGCGTCAGACGAGTGTGAGGTATAAAAATAATAATTTCTCTGAAATGATGTCCGGATATCCTTAAATGATATTCGGACGAACTTGAATTGTAAAAGGTGCTTGTGGTGAAGAAATATGAATTTTTAAAAAAGAAGTTCTCGACAGAACCGCACAACAGATTGAATACCAATCAGACAAACATAGCACTAGCGATCTTAAGAAAGACCATAGAGGAATTCGAGTGGGAATTTAAGAGGAAACCGAGGAAGATACACATACAAGGATCGAACCCTACTTACGTCCGGTACCACGTCTTCGAGTCAGGTTCCATTCGACCAACACCTTTGACACTATGCATACCGGCCGGTAATTTGTCAGCAGTATAACAGGCCTCGGTCAGCTCGCGATAATTTCCCAACGAAACCTATAAACGTGAGAAGAATGTTAAACACTGGTCAAAAGGCTGCGTGCGCAAGTAAAACGAGGAGACAGCACAGTCTTTTTACCTCGAGGAAATTATTAACACTGAGCAATTATTCTTCTTCCTAACATACAGGCACTGGTACCAAAAGTATTGCTTTTTAAGATAAGCTCGGTAAACGTACGTCCACCAAACAGGATACAGACAAGTCAGAAGGCAGTGATGCGTTGAATTATTCACATACCATTTGGTGTGGAAACACTGAATTCCCAGATCAAATCATCGGGTGTGTACTTGATGTACAAAATATTTCACGCTACAATTGTCATAATGAGAACATTTTTGTATTGTACCGAACCGTATTTTTTTATTGCACATACTTATGTGTTGAACAGCTGACGGGGTGGACCCCGTAAACGTGAAGACCTGCGGTTCAGCAATGGAAACCTGCAACCTAAGCCTCAGGATTTGGGGTGGTGAACCGTATAGAGCCCCGCTAGGTTAGGCGAGGTACTGATCCGGATGACCGAAAAGCTGTCTATCACCAAAGGTGGGTGGTGGTGGCGAGGTTCAAACCTCGAACAATCGAGTCCAAAGCACACCGGTGAAAGCGACCGAACCACGGCACCGCCACCACACAACGAACGCGTAACAAATCACAAGTTTGAGATAAGAGCACATGGGTGTTGCACTGTATTACATAACTCGCAAGCCAAATAGTTTACATTTCAGTTGAAAAGACCCTAAATACACCAAACATCATACTACATAACTTTCAAGTACAAACTTTCCTATCCGCCGGAATAACATAAAATAACTTCAAAACTCTCCACATGGCCCAAAATGCAGCGCAACTACCTCGGATACCTTGTCATTCACACCGTTTGGGTGGACATATGATAAATGATCTTGTGTAGTGATTCAACTAACCACGTTACATCAACTTGGATTACACTGATGAAAAAGCGTCAGGGCAGTGAAATTAGAAAACTAAAGGAACTAAAAACACTGAATGCACAACTGAACAGTTTTGTGATTGTGCACAGACAAACACATGCGGTAGACCAGTTCCCATCTGTATACCCCAGTGCAGCACACGTGGTGGTGAGGGGCAGGGAGAGAGAATGAACGGCCTACTGTCACAAGTGACCGTACTGCCCCCTCCCACCAGGCCCCAAAGACGAAGGGGAATCTAGCAACCCATCCCGTGTGCCCCCAGCACGAATGCGTGTCTGACAGTAGAGGAGAGGAAGGACATGAATTTGAAAGCGAAGATCATGCACATAATCATACAAACGGGAAATGGTGCCCTGCTAACCAATCCGGTCGATCCTTGCCTCCAGTACCGTGCCGCAACACTTATTCTTCGGAGAGCGTGATGAAAAAGGGCAGTGCAGAAACTGGGACAGTATGCGCTGCGCACAGGTTCAAAATGGGATGGAAAATCGTTGCAACTAGCAGTAAGGAGGATATGATGAAGCGAAACGTACTTAAACGTAATCAGGACACGAAAAAAACAGTCCTATAAGAGATAGCCAAGTAAACTGGAAAGATGCAGTATTCTCCAGGGACAAGATAACAATCTAAAAGCAATGGTTTCCAAGGTACTAACTAGAAACGAAGAGGATTGTTTTGTTTTCCTCGTACGACGAAAGTTTGGAGCAGATGGTTGACAGAAATGGTTTGCTGGTAATCGGTATAAAGTAGTTGAATACGGACACCTTGCAAAAATGCCTCGACAGTTTGATGGTGAGATGCATTGTGGACGGACGGTGGAAGGCGAACGCATCGAAACTTCAGCACACGGTATCGGTTCAACGCACGATAATCGAGTACCGCCTACTACCAGGATCAAACCTCGACGTCCACGAGCGACTATGCGCGAACGACAAAGAATGGCCCAAGTACGTTTCTCAAGACTTCATTTTATGCGTAGTAGATGAGAAAAGCATGCATTATATTTGTAACTCGCCAAAGAGTACCAAAATGATCGGTTAAGCTTGGCAGATTGGGGCTTTTTGTTTTCCCAGTGCTGGTCTTGTTTGTGCTCTTCGGAAACGACAGCAGCGAACACGAAGTTGTATGGCAGACCGCATTGTCGAAAAAGCATTAACCCTAACTCGATAACTCTATGCAAAATCACTTGTTTAATATAGAGGTGCAGCGCATAACTCACATACTGGGCACTTAACAGGTTGCACCCTCGAGTGGTTTGCCATTAGCATTATTTTTTGTTCTCTGATGTTTCGTTTACAACATATATATATATATATATAAGTATTGTTTTAATCGAAAACATAAAATAAACATTTTGCAACTTAGTGTACGTATTCATTCTCTTTTGATATATGTGTACAGATTGTGGTATTTCAATTATTTAAATGCACCATACTGTATTCATTCAGTTATCTAACTACCTCCTGTTAGTAATCCAACCGACGCTACAGAGATCCGCCGAGATTCTCGAGAAAAGGATTTTAAACGATATCCACAACACCTATTTATTCGAGAAAAGCATTCATAGGATCCACACATCCAAGAGTAAACTCCAAGAAAACAGTTGATTCAGAAAATCTAGTGAACAGCATGTTGCTTTATTCACCTTTCCCGGAAAACCTTTAGGGTCGGTAGAAACGGACTATGGAGCGATAATCTTATTAACAGCAAGTTACACCCAGCATGACAGCCAAGTAATTAGACTTTTTGAAGGAAGAACGCTTGCCATGAGGAAACCCACCAAACTACAGTTTGTCTACGCGGTCCATCACTCATTGAGTCTTAGCCTGCCATATTTAACAGATAGAGATAGTGGCTGCTCCTCGATGAGTGGTCTGGGAAAGTGTCAAGCAGTATGTAGCTCGGTTACCGTCATGACAATTAAAGCTGATGAACCGAAGTTTTCGGTTCAGCGAGTCAGAGAAATATCCATATGATAGGGTTAGCATCGAAACGAGTATCACTGAACCTTTCCGTCACCGAAGTCAAATGATGTTCAGTTTTGAACCTCGATTCATGAGGAATGATGCTATCGACTAGCAATTACTTAAACAACTCTACTGTTACCGAAAACAGTCCGATGCATGAGGATAACTTCTTCAAAAAAGGCGGAACAGCCCGATCATGCAAGAATGAACATGAAGGGAACCAATTACACACGCAGATCAATAAAATGAAGCAAGTAAACGTTTTTCGGTGAGATTCTTACAATTTCTAAACCTTATGTTTATGACTTTCTATAAACTGGAATGATTCAGGTCAACCAGGCGTTTGACAACCTCCGTCGGGTGGTACCTAGAGGACATATGACGGAATACCAGCGGCTTAGCAAGATTGCCACACTTCGTCTGGCTATCCAATATATCCGGGCAATGAATCGCATCTTGGGTAAGTCACACACGTTCAACTCGGAACGTGCACAACAAAGGAATAAGCACAAGGAACAGACGACCGCCTGGACCAAGGCGGCAACTGCGCGAAACTGGGGGACAAGCTCGACGCAAACAACCGCTCGACCAACTGAACATGCATCCAGCAAAACTGGGTATGTGAATGGTAGTGGGTCGACAGCTGTCTCGGATACAGATGACCAAATGAGGAAACTACACTGGTTTGACTTTGAGACGGTAGAACAAAAAACCCTGGTCCTGTTTGGCTACACCTCCGATCTGGGATGGGACCCCACAGACGAATACCTTTCTTCATCCGGTGAGTAAAACACCCTGATGTTTACGTTCAGACACAGTATCACGCTCGAATGCTCAATTTCATTGTCAACCAACATCATTTGCGTCCTACAGTTCGATCGCATACCACATTCCGACTTCATGGGTAAAGTGAATCTGACAGGTTACCTGTTGAATTTCGTCACAAACATTTAGTAAGAAATTAGACTATATATAGAAGAATGAGGATCCATTGATTACTACAGTGAATTTGAAATCTTCGAGGGTAAACTAACTGAAAGTATGGTTGACAGGTAAAAATTCAACGAGCCTCTTTAGCTCAATGCGTCTTAGAAAATTGGATTGTGCAAATACAAATTTGAAAGTAGATATTTAGTTGAAGCAAACTGTCCTTTGGTTGATCCATCCATAAGGAACAGGACGAATTTTGATTCGTAAGATGAACTCGATAAGCAACTCAAACTACTGCTTCTAAGTGATGCCCAATCTCACTCACGCTTATCAGAAATACGAGGTCGTAAAGGGACACGTGGAAGGGACGATATCTGCAGGAATGAAAACAATAATACGCAAAACATTCACATTGGATGCGTACCACGAAATTGACGGTCAATTGTTTAGCACAAGAAAAACACCTTTTTCGACTATAACTGCTGAAACGATCGATGATCACGACATGTGACTAAGCTCGCATAGCTATGCCAACAATGTCTACACGCAGGTGAGGGAGGGAGAAAGAAGACCAATCCAGCACACGGTGTAATTTCATGCCATGTGTAGTTGACATGATTTTCGCAGTCACCGCCACACGTATTTTTTACCTTCTAGGAAAGACAGTTGGTCAAAAATGGAGCGTCTATGATTGAAGCTTCTCACTTCCATCCTAACCTCAAATCGCAGCCCAAAATTGGATTACAGATAATCCGGTTTGATTAGAAAGGGTTGAAAATGAAAGAGAACGGAACCCGAACAGGTGTTAATATTCTCCATGTACATGCGATTTCAATGCAATTGATCAAGTCTTGAACGATACGAATCAGGACGAAAACCGATATTCCTTTACCAGCAAATCTTTGCAAATTTCAGCTGACCTGAGCTCTATACGAGAAGACAAACCGGAACAAGGTTACATTCATCAGACACAACAAGTGGAACAGAGGATTGGATATGACACAGAAGAAGCCCCGTACATTCTGCGGAAGGCGGAACGAAACACCGAACAGATTCCCGAGAATTTACACAGCCAAAATTCATTGATGCTGAACGACCGCGAGTTCAGTTATGTCCCGTTCAATCTGGACTACGCACAGCAACAACAAGCTTCCTTCGTTACAACACAAGGCCTTTATGCGCACGAATATGGGACAAATCAATCAACTGATTATTTGAGTGGGATAGGAATGCGAAATGACTGGTGCAATGACGGTTCACTGCCAATGTGAGTAATGCACATGATCCTTGACTTGTGCCCCTCTCCAGCTATCTATCTACTGATATACACATATGTATATGTATATGAGCAGTGCGCAACTGAATTCATTCTTCTATTTACCTCTCTGAGTTCCTAATAAACACACGCTATACTACATAAAACAATGACCACATACAGTGTTTTTGTTGTGATGGATTACCTCTGAAGGAAACAATTTAAGAAACAGCCGAGTACTTTAGGAAATTAATCTGACAAGGATTAAAGTGATCCATGGGAAGCAAAATTTCTTGCAAACGAAACAAGCTAGTTAGACGAAACAAGACAGTTATGAAGATAGCTTTCCTAAAAATTAACGACAACCTCTACAAAAAAAGTCCAACAGAAATGTGTCCACTTAAAAATTATTCCGACTTTATTTGGTGAACGCTTGGATCTCCACCCACCAAGTCTCCAGATGACATAAATATCCGAGGACATAGATCACTGGGGAAAAATGTACGTGGACAGTAGTTCATGCTATCTTTCTTTAAGGCGCAAATGAAGTGACTTACAGTCAAACGGGTAAGTTCGATGATTGGAAGACATATTGTAGGGTATAGAAGGAATAAATTCAAAATAGATAGTTTTTTAGTCTAGTTTTGAAGAGTTTGAGGTTGTAACTGGAAAGAACCACAGGCAAGGAAGGTGTACCATAGTTGAAATGTTCTGTAAAAAGAGAGAACTGCAACCCAGCGCTGAGGGGCCTGGAAAAAAACGCTGAATGCTGTCTAGACCCTAAAGTAAAGAGGGAATGTAAGACGGATGGGTGCATCTCTGGCTAGCTTGTATGAACGAGGTTGAACGGCGTAGAAAATGGATATCCCGAAAATTGGTTAATGACTGCAAGCTGGGGGGTGTTGAGTCATTGATGAAGTGAGTTGAGTGTGGTTAGACAGAGAGAAGAAGAAGCACTACCAACATATAATTCCAGATGTGGTAAATCTCTGCCCGCTTAATAGCAGCTGCGAGACGGGATAAGTTCTTAGTTAGAACGGGTAGAGGGATGGGATTTGCATGCACATAAGTCATTGTGTAGAGGATGGGTGCAATCAGATAGGATATTGTCAGCAAACGTCAAACACGCATCAGT